CTGTGTTTGCGCGCGAGCCCAGTCGCGCGGGGGCCGCCGCGCGCCCGCGCTCGAGCTCCGAGGCGCGCTGCTGCCACCGCGCTGGCAGCGCCCGGCGCAGGGTCTGGAGAGCGGGCCGCCTCTTTGGGCGGCAGGGCCTCTGGAGCGACTAGGGCGGGCGCGTCAGCAGAGCCTGGCGCCGTCGCCCCCCCGCCCCCCCGACCCGCTGGGGCGCCCGGAACGCCTGTGCCGTCGCCGCCCAAACTGGGTCGCCCGCAGAACTGACGGCCGCCCGCAGGTGCGTCGCGGGGGCGACGGGGTCGGCGCGCCGCCCCCGCGCGGCCAGCAGCGCGCGCAGCGGCGGCTGCGCTCTGGCGACTGGGCGCGCATCAGCGTCGGATGGCCGTTCGAGTCTTCGACCAAGGAGTAGGCGTGGAGAGCGCGCATGGCGGCGCTGGCAAAGCCTGGCGCGTTCCCCGCGCGCTCGAGCCCTTCCGCGCAGTTCCTGCGCTGGCGCGGCGGGCGCCCCTCCGGGGTCTCCATGACTCGCGACATGGGCGCGGCGCGCCGGCGCGCCGGGCCCGTGGACTGGCTCGCGATCTCCGCGCGCGTGCGCAGCGGGCGCGCGACGACGCCCGCAAAGTCGCGCGGGCCGATGTGATCGACGAGCAGATCGCGCGCCCCATTTCCGAACGCATTGGCCGCGTCTGCAGCGGGCCAGGACAACGACGACGGCCTCGCGAACCCGGGCAGCGCGCCGCCCCCTCCAGCCACGGGGGGCCCAAATCGCGAAGCAGCGCGAGTCGCGCGAAAATGGTGGCCCCATCGAGCTGCCGGCCCAGCTGAGCGGCCTGGGCGCGCGCGTCGGGCACGGCCTTGACTCCCGCGCGCTCGGCCATGAGGGCGTCCGCCTTGGAATTGGCGCGGTTCCCGTCGCCGGCGCATTCGCCTCGAATCCGACGCCCTTCGAGAGGGTGCCCTGAGACCCCGCGGCGCGGAGGTGCACTGGCAGAGCCTGGCGACCCCGTCGCCGGTTTCCTCGCGGTCTTCCCCCTAGGGGAAACAGGGCGCAGCGGGGGCGACAGGGGTTGAATCTCAACCAGATGTTACATCTTTCTCTTTTGGGGGGGGTGCAGGGGAGGCAACTGGGACTGATGGAGAGGGAAGTGGCAAGTGCTACAGGAATGTGGACTTGACAAAGGGAGCAGCCATTCCATCGCATCCCCTCTTCTTCGTCTGCTTGGGCCTTGCGGATTAGCACGCGTGTAAGACACCTGCTATGCGCAATGCGATTCGCAAGCGGATCTGCGGGATTGAAACGGGCGTTCTTCTTCTATGTTGCCTCGCCTGCACACCCAATGCAACATTTCACTGCTATGCCTGATTTCTTTTGATGTTATGCAGATCGGCAGACATGTTCTTACTAACGCAACTATAGGTTCTTATATGTTAAGATTGCTAAGTTCTTATTTAAAGAACTAAAAGACCCCGGGTCTCGGGCGCGATCAACTGGCGCGCGCAGTGGAACGCGCCGATCTCACTGGCGGCGCCATTTGCACCCATCGCGAGGATCGCCAAGCGCGACGGGCGGCCTAGAGCGCGCCCTCTCGCGGCCGCTCGCGTTCAGAAAGGGCGCGATGCACCGGTTCGTCTGCGCCGCCCAGTCGGGATGCAAGTCGTTCTTCTGCCGGTCCATGCGCGGGCTCGCCGCCGCGAGTGCTTCTATCTGCGTGCGCAAGTCCGTTGAATCCCCCCGGATTGGTTCGGCCGTGCTCGTCGGCGCCTGGGCTCGCAGCGCCGGGCCCGACGGGCTCCCCCCGCTCTTCGCGGCAGTGCCGCTGAAAATTCCCCTTTTCATATGCGCTGGCAGAGTCTGGAGCTCTGAGAGCGAGTTTTCATCTCGCGCGCGTTCCGTCCATCTCCTCGACTTCCCTTTGGCGCAGAGACGCCGGCCGCGTCAACGCAACGCTGCGCTGCTCCTCTATGACCAGGTCCGAACAGTCTGGTGCTCGATGTCCGGCAATTCCGCCAACGGCCTCTGGTGCTGCCCCCGCAGCTTGGGCCGCGTGTCTGGGGCGCCGCTCTTGGGGGGCGCTCCGAACAGGGTGGCCTCCAGGGACCTAGCGCCAGCTTCTTCGAAGATAGTCGTCTGCGGCGAGACCGGAGGGGCCCCGGCGCCGGCTGCCCGGCACGGGCCCCCTTTTCGGCGTCGGGGTTGCGGCCCAGCCGGTGAATGCGAGGCAATCACTTTCCCGTCTTTCTTATTCTCTCTCAGCCAGCCGCGCGCCGTGGCCCGCATTCGCGCGAGTTTCGTCGGCTTGGCGTCGCCGGGGCTTTCGATGGCGCAGAGGCGGACACGCGTGACCATGCGCATCATCGCCGCCCGAGCTCGCGCCGCACCCGGACTCTCCGCCGCGGCGCGGGGCGCGGGCCCGGGAGATTTGGGCGCTCGCGGGGGCGTCGCGGCCCAGCACGTCGGAGAGCGCGAGCCAGGCCGCGGCCATATTTCCGCCGACCGCTCACGCCGTGGGGCCCTCGTCGCAGCTTGTGCCCAACTCTGCGCGCGCCTCTGCGGCGGCTTCGTAACCGCGAAGGTCCGCTTTGCCGCTCCAGTCAGGGATGACCGCGTCGCCCTGCGCGGCGGCATCCCCCTTGAGCTTGCCCGCGCCGCCGACGGAGCCGCCGCCGGCGAACCCTGCAGACGCCCCAACCGCAAGCGCCCCCAAAGACGACGGCGTCGGCGACCCGCCCGGTGCGCCTGCCCCAAGAGGCGGCTGCGCTGACCACTCGAGCGACGCTGGGGCGTCGACTTCCATCGGCTGCTCGGAGGCGGCGCCGACGGAGCGGCTCGGTGGGAGGGGTTGGCTGGCAGGGCCTGGCCCCGGTTTTTGCGGCGGCGCCAGGGTCGGCGAGGCCGAGGCCAGGGTCTGGGCCAGGGTCGGCGCTGGCGCCTTGCGGGGAGAACGCGAGGCCTGGGCCGGCGAAGCCTGCGCGCGCGGCTGCGCCAACGGCTCCGCCGCATGAGGGGAGGCTTGGGTTAGGGCGGGCACCGACGGCGTCACTGGGAGGAGGATGAGGAGGAGGAAGAAGAGGAGGAGGAGGAGGAGGAGGAGGAGGAGGAGGAGAGGAGAAGAGAGGAACGTGGGGCGGTGTCTTCAAAACGAGGACCCGACTCCACAGGATGGTTGGGACACCTCGTGTCGTCGGATGCCTGGGAAGATGCCCATGGCCTAAGGTGCCCCCAGCTTTTCACACCATTCTGGGGCAACGTTTGGGGGCAACGTTCGTGGGATTGGCCGAGCAGGGGATGCATCGACCCTCAATCGCCCCATTGATCGCCGAAAAGGGCCCGACTGCCCACTCTGCCCAGGATCGCCCTTGTTTCGCCATCGGGTGCCGATCGCCGGTCCATCGGCGATGTATCGCCGATTCCAGCTCGATGATCCCCCCCCCCTCCCCCCCTCACCCAAGCCAGGTCCCCTCCTATCGTGCCCCCTCAGACTCAGACCCACGACGCCGTGATTTTGTCTCAACCTGGACCCTCAGAGGTCTGGACCTCTTTCCTGGGACTGGCTGTTTGTGTTGAATGTGTTTTTGTTGACGGTCCTGGGGCCCGGCGGGGGCCCCCGGAGGCCGAAAGCGTTCAAACATTTCCCGTCGTGAATTTTCTGTCACGACGCGAGTGGCCTTCTGAGATTGGCGGCGCACGCGAGGTGGTGGCGCCAGGGGGGCCCTGTAAGAAGGCGGGCAGCTTCTAAGAAGGCAAGGGCCTTCATAGGAACGCGTTCGTAGAAGCCTCCCCTCTGTCTTTTTAGAAGCCCCCCCCCCTCGCGCCCCCCCCACCCCCCCACCCCCTTGTGCGCGCCGCTCATTAACTGCGCGACGGAAGAAATGGGGCCGACTGCGCCGACATCCGTGTGCAAGGTCCGCTCGTGACGTCGCGCGTAAGCGCCCTCGTTTCCAATTCAACGTGTTGCACTGGCTACACGCGTAAGCCGCGGCGTGAGCTCGCTACTTCATCTCGCGTGTGACCCGTTTCTTTTCATCGCCCCCTTGTGCGCGCCGCGAGTTCCCCTAGGGGCCTTTGATGGCTCTTGGGAGACCCTTGGGCCGTCTTGGGGGACCCTTGGGCCGTCTGGGTGTTATCTTGAGGGCCTTTTTGGCCGTCTTGTGGCGATCTTGGGGGCCTCTTGGAGCTCTGTTGGAACGTCTCGGATGCTTTTAGAGCACCCAACCCAGAGAGTTCGACCCCGAGAAGTCTAGACCCATTCCCCAGGATCGGTTTTTCATCCTGCGTCGTTTTATGACGGCTCCGAGGCCCGGTAAGGGCCCCCAGAGGCCGAAAATATAGAACAACCGTTCGTCATGATTTAGTTCACGACCCGAGGGGCCCTCTTAGGGGCCTCTTTGGCTGCTTGGGGCGATATTGGGGAACTCTTGGGCCCAAAAGGCGAGAACGCTAACATTTTCAGACACAAAGGGAATGCGGAATGCAGGACTCTGGCCTCTCGGGGCCCTTTTGGGGGGCCTCTTGGAGCTGTCTTGGGCCCTGTTGGAGACATCTTACAGTCGAGACTTCTGAATTTAGGACCTTCTCGGGCTCAGGAGGGGCTCTGGTTTTCGGGTAGTTGCTTAGACCCATGTCGGGGAACCTATTCGAAGCCGAGGCACGCCAGGAACATGAAAGCCCTTCTGATTATACTTCAGCCTTCCTTATGGCTATCATGGTCCAACCTATTGCAGCCTCGATCGCCAAAACGAAACTCGAGCACCAACGGCATTTCGAGTGCCTGCGCCTAGAGGGCCCTGAAGGGCGACCCCCCCTGGGAAGTTGTCACGTGTCGGGACCTGAGAGGCGATACTCGTTCGACACTTCGCTGGTGTTTCGGGCAGACGCGGTTTCGATATTCTCCTGGGTGCTCGGGATTAGCTGTTGGGATGTGGTCCTGGAGCGCCATGGGAGCAACACAAACCTCATGGCAGCACCACTACTTCAGAACACCAAACCCAGGGGGCGGCGGGGCGGCGGCCCCGCAGACGCCCGCCGCGATCACGGGCGCCAGCCGCGCGGGGTTCGCGGGCGCGGCGCCGCGCACGCCCGCCGCCATCACCGGCGGCGGAGCGGCCGCGCCGCAGACGCCAGCGCTGATCACTGGAGCTCGGAGAACCTTTCAGGGGCAACTTTAGGGGGGGATAGGCTCAGGGAGAGACGACAGCATCAGGTTCGATGTTCGAGGTCTTCGGGCGTTTCCGTTGGTATTCGGCGTCTTTCCAGCCTCGGGACGCTCTCCAGCAGCTGCGCCTCGCCGAGCGCGTTCCCGCGGTGTCCAGATCGTCCTGAACGGCCCCCAAAGGCCCGGGGTATGGCCCGAAAACCAGAGAAGACGGGGATAGGCTCAGGGGGGGCGTGAATGCAGTGACCCCATATCGCCCATGGATCACCGACAATTTGGGGCCCCGTAACCCACCCCGCCCAGCAACGCTCGGATTCGTTATCGGGGGCCTGTTGCCGAGCCATCGCCGATTCATCGGGGGCCTGTCGCCGATCCGTCAACAAACAGAGCATCATAAGATATACCAGAGCAGGGCATGGCAGAACAGAAGACAGAGCACAACCATACCATAACATAATTGGGTATAAGATAACACACCTTGACAAGACACATCGTATCAGGACGCAACATCACATACCGCGTTCGCATGATGGCAGTGGGTTTATGTTTCATGCTCCCGACGTTTCGTCTTATTCGAATAAGGCGTTTCAATGTTCATCATAGTGCAACTGCTCCTGCACCGATTCCGTGACACACGCATTTGCCTTAACAGTGCGGGGCCAGGGTTTTTGTGATGGGCCTGGCGAGCTGTGCGAGGAGTGCATGATGCAAAACACATTACACACCATATCATAACACGACAGCAGAGCATAACGACCCATACTAGAAGAGCGCATCATATTATAATATGCATAGCCGGACCGTCGACAAACATACCATCACATAGTATACCAGAGCAGGACATGCCATACCATAATCGAGGCGATCATAACACAGCACGTCATGACACAACTGATCATGCCACATCATGGCAGCATCACAGCACATATCATAACACGACAGCAGCATATGGCGAAACATGCTAGCAAAACATGCCATCGTACAATTGACTGAGCCCTGCTGTCAAACATGCCGCAGCACATACCCTACTATAACATCATTTGGCAAACCATATTTTGTCGTACCATAGTGCCACAGGCCAGGTCATACCATAACATCTCAGATCCTATAGTGATAGAGATGATGATCACAGCATATTTAAGAGACACGCATAAGTGATGAGGGACATCACAGCAAACGACGCATCTAACGTCAAAGGCGTCACGACTTCATGCCAGCTCGTCGAGAGCAGAGCAAGACATAATATAGCAGACCGTGAAGTAGCGTGACTACGTGGAACACGGTTGAACCGTTTCCAGAAGCGGCAACCGTCGACCAACTAAACAACCGCGCGCCGTCGAGAATCAACGCTCAGGTTTCGGTGGGGATCGCTCGAAGCATTATAATTCAATTGAATTGCCCTTTCCGGGGCTCGCACCTTGGTTTTTTATCAGGCAAAGTTCTGGGTCTTAGAATGTGTCTTTGGCCCCTGGTTTACAGCAGCGGCTCCCGCCTAAGACTTCCTCACAATTCATTCCCGAGTCGCGCTCTCCCGTGGGACGTCCTCACAACATTTCCAGATATCGCACTCTCGCGTGGGAGTTCCTCGCATTTGTTTCAGACACCGCGCCTCGACACTCTTGAATCACGCTCTCGCTTTGGCCTATCTCACCACTTACTTGGGAATCGCGCTATCGCTTGAGACTTCCCCGCGATTTATGCAGTAATCACGCTTAAAAGCTGCCTGCTGGACCTGGCCGTTTGGGCCCTGCTTCCCGACCCGCCCGTTAGGGTCTACCCGCCCGACTGGTTCTGCAACGTGCTTTCTGCTCCTGGCCCACCTCCTGCTAATACCGTGCTCTATTACCGTGCTCTATCCTCATCCTTCCCTTGTCCTTTCTTTCCGTCCGTCCTTTCGTCCCCTGCCTTATGGGCTGCACGACATATACGTTGCAGGTAAGCAAGATGTACGCCCAAGCGGGTCATCGGGCACGATCGAAGACGAAGAGGGCGTGTATCGAGGTTTCGGGATCTACGTGTTGAGTGGCTGGAGAGCAGATAAGAGCGAGCAGTCTTAAATTGATTTTTGTTGTTGTTGTCGTCGAACTCTCACTACAGAAGAAAAGCTATGCTTGATCCCCCCTCCGGGGCACATGGTGTTTTTCAATTGAAAAGCCCTTCCCCGGGTTCGCACCGTGGTTTTCTTAAACGGGAAAGTTTGTTGGGGTTTCAGAATTGGATTGTTGGCCCTGGCTTACAACAACAATGTCTCCCGCCTCATATTTCCTCACACTTGATTCCCAAGTCGCGCTCTCGCGCGGGATGTCGTCACCTCACAATGTATGAAGAAATCGCGCTCTCGCGTGGGACTTCCTCGCAAATTAGTCAGACGCCGCGCCTTCGACACTGAGGCCTCCTGCTCTCGCTGTGGCTTATCTCACGATTTACTTGGGAATCGCGCCATCGCTCGAGATTCGCGATTCATGCAGGACGCACGCTTCAGCAACCCGCCTGCTCGACCTGGCTGCCTGGGCGCGCTTTCCCGACCCGCTTATTATGGTCTACCCGCCCGATCTGCCCGTCTGGTTCTGCAACGTCTTTTCTGCTCCTAGCTCCTCTCATGCTACTCTCGTGCTCCATCCTCCTCCCCCTCCCTTGTCCCTTTCTTCCATCCGTCCTCTCTTCCCCTGCCGTATGGGCTGCGTGGAACCCGTTGCAGGCAAGAAAGAGGTATTCCCAGGGAGGGACTACCGAAAGCGAAGAGGGCGGGTATCGATGGTTTGGGGTATACATGTTGAGTGGCCCGAGAGCAGATAACAGCGAACTTAAGATGGTTGTTGCTGTTGCTGTTGTTGCTGTTGCTGCTGCTGTTGTTGTTGTTGTTGTTGTTGCTGTTGCTCTCGTTGATTTGTCACTTCTGCAAAATGATTATTGTCAATCCCCCCCTCCAGTAACGTATGCATTTTTCAATTCAAGTGCCCCTCCTGGGGCCCGCGCCTTCGTTTTTTTTAATCAGGGAAAGTGTTCCTCCTCAAACTGTGCCCCTGGCCCCAACAACGGCTCCAGCCTGATACTTCCTCGCATCGCGGTCTCGAGCGGGACTTCTTCACAATGTATGTAGGAATCGCGGGCTCGCGTGGGGCTTCCTCGCAATTTATTCAGACGGTCCGTCCTCAACGCTCATGAATCACGCTCTCGCTTTAGGCTTTCTCGCGACTTTCCTTGGGAACCGCGCTATCGCTCCAGACTTCCCCGCGATTCATGCAGGACCCACGCTTCAGCAACCCGCCTGCTCGACCTGATCGCCTGGGCCCGCCTTCCCGACCCGCCCGCTATGGGTCTGCCCACCCGATCTGCCCGTCTGCTTCTACCACTTGTTTTCTGCTCCTTGCCCCCCTCCTGGTAATCTCTCTCGTGCTCCATCCTCCCCCCTCCCCCTTCCACCCGTCCTCTGTTCCCCTGTTTGAGGGGTTGCATTCAGTGCACGTGGCAGGTAAGGAAGCTATACCCCCAAGGGTTGACGATCGAGGGCGAACAGGGCGGGTACCTAGGGCTTGGGATATACGTATTGGTGGGTACGTGAGCAGATAGGAGCGAACTGTCTTAACATTACGACTCTTCTTCTTATTATTATTATTTCGATTCGTATTACTACTACTATTGTTACCGTAAGGGCTTCGCCCCATGCCGCCGGCCCCTTGTCCCGGATAATGGGGGATGCAAAAGCTAAATCATGAGGTCTGGGCGCCGCCGTGAAGCAGTGCCAGGACTTGTTTGTTTTTCGACCCTGACCTTACGGATCTGCGTCACGGGTGCCACCGAATTTCAGAAATGTGGCAAATCCCTTATGTTTTTGGACCCTGACCCTACGGATCTGCGTAAGGGATGCCACCGGATTTCAAACATGTGGCAAATCCCTTGTGTTTTTGGACCTTGACCCTGCCGATCTGCCTGAGGTGTGCCGCCGAATTTTAGAAATGTATCAAATCACATGTGTTTTTAGACCCTGACCCCGCCGATCTTCGTGAGGGGTGCCATCGAATTTTAGAAATGTGGCACGTCCCATGTGTTTTTGGACCCTGACCCTGCCGATCTGCGTGAGGTGTGCCGCCGAATTTCAGAAATGTAGTAAATCCTTTGTGTTTTTGGACCCTGACCCTGCCGATCTGCGTGAGGTGTGTCACCGAATGTCAGAAATGTGGCAAATCCTTTGTGTTTTTGCACCCTGACCCCGCCGATCTGCATGAGGTGTGCAGCCGAATTTCAGAAATGTGGCAAATCACATGTGTTTTTAGACCCTGACCCCGGCGATCTGCGTGAGAGGTGGCACCGAATTTCAGAAACGTGGCAAATCCGATGTGTTTTTGGACCCTGACCCCGCTGATCTGCGTGAGGGTGTTAACTTTTACCAACCCCAGCAATTCAGACAACACGCTCAGGGCGTAATGCCCATTTTGGGCCTCCCCCCCTCGCGCGGTCCATCAACAAGGAACAGTAAGCAGCAAGAAGCAGAACTGTAACAAGGAACAGTAAGCAGCAAAAAGCAGAATTGTAACAGTGGAAACTGGAAACTGCAACTGGTACAGGAAACTTCGAACCTTAGGCCTACAGCCCGGTGGCCCCACAAGGGGGCCGGCGGATTATAGTTGTTGTTGTTGGTGTCATTGTTGTTGGTGTCATTGTTGTTGTTGTTGTTGTTGTTGTTGTTGTTGGTGTTGTTGTCGGTGTTGGTGTTGTGGTTGTTGCTGTTGCTTTTTGGGGGCATTTTTTATGAGTTGCAGTTTTTGCAACCAAAAATGCGGTCATGTAAAAAGTCGGATTGATTTTACTTGTAGCGCCCTGGACGCCCCCCAAACTCCGTCTCGCTCTCCCCTTCCCCCCCCCTACTTTGCTCCGGGGAAAACCCCACCAACACCTTCCTTTGAGGAGGGTTTTCGGGGGGGGGGGGTCGGGGGAGTTTCTGGGAACTCACACACCGGCCTCTGGCGATGCATCGCCGATTCCTAGTCGATGTTCCCCCCCCTTAGCCTACTCCCCGTTAACGTTCCCCCTCGACCCTGAGATCCTAGCGTCGCAATTTTGCACAGCGGGCGTTTTCGCCGAGTGTCGGGCACAGGGACCATCAGGGATCGATCGGGCTCGAGAAATACGGCAAGAAGATTGGGTCCAGGGATTCGGTGGCGATTTGTCTACGATGTCGTATTTTTGGTGACGTCGGATCTCAGGGAAGGAAAAGTTGCGTAAGTATAACACATGTTCGCCGGTCCGCGCGGATCTCTCGGATCGGCACGGGGTTGGCAGCAGCTCTGGTGCCGCCCAATCTGCGCTGCGCGCACCAGGAAGGGGGATTAAGCGCAGATCCTGTAGACTATCTGGGCGGATTCTGGAGAAAGTTTATATTTGCGCCGCTTTTTGTTGTGGTTTCCCCCCTTACAGGGGTCGCGGCGGGTGGCCTGAAGGCGCCGCAGACGCCGGCCTTCGCCGGCAGCCAGAGCTCCATGGCGTCCGCCCCCACGCCCTCCGGCGGGGCCAGGAGAAGAACAATAGTAGGTAAACTTCAGCCTTCGGAGGTGGAGGAGATGGCAGGAAGAGGATGAGGATGACCAGAAGGAAGGGGAGGAGAAGGAAGAGGAGGAGGAGGCAGGAGGAGGATGAGGAGAAGGCAGCACCAGGATGAGGAGAAGGAGGAGGCAGGAGGAGGCAGGAGAAGAAGAAGGCAGGAAGAGAAGGAGGATAGGGAGGAAGAGGAAGGAGGAGGGAGAAGAGCAAGAGAAAGGAAGGAGGAATAATGAGAAGGGAGGAGGATTTTTCAGTTGTCGTCGCACCGCGCGGCCGCGGCTGGCCGCTTCGGGGCGAAGCGCGCCACCTCTGAGCAAGCCAGTTGGAGCCCTCGAGCGCAGGGACCCTCGAGTACAGAGGCCGCTCGCCGCCGCGCCTGAGACGCGCATCCTCTGAGGATCGGCGCTGGGCCCACGAGCGGCGAACAGATCCATGAGGCGAGCACATGGCGCACTTCAGAAAAGGGCCTTGCCTTCGAGAGTCGAAGGACCTGGCATCCCTTCCTCGGCGGAAGATCGGCGGAAGCTGGCGGAAGTAAAACGAGGGGGGCTCCGCCGGCAAACGCTCGGGATAGGTCGGCAGAAGCCGGCGGAATAATGAAATGCGCCCCCAAGAGATGGCAACAGTTTTGGGTTCAGAGTTTCTGGAACCCTCCATATGCACGCCCTCGCGGTTTGGATTCCTGTGCGCGATCCTTAAGGCATTCGGTCGCATGGGTACGTTCCGCAAGGGGCATGCGCAGAAGAACACTCCACATCAGTGGGGTCGCGTCGCGGCCAACGGGGCCCAGCTTGCGAGGCTTTGGATAACTATGCGCATGTTTCCCATTTGACCACGAGATCCAATCCAAGGAGCCCGCGCAGACCTCTGGAAGCTTCTGCTCACGATCCCAGACATCCGACGATGTGTTTTTCCCCAGACAGCTTGCTGAACAGGGTGCTCTTGTGGTAGAAGCTACCTCCAGCCGAGGGAAGGGTGAGCAGAGACATCCTCAAACAAGTCTGGTGGTCTGGGCCGCTCCGCCTGAGACATCCTGACAACTCTCGTTTCTGACTTGTCCGGGATTGGCCGTTTCGCTTGAGAAGTCCCCTAAAATCTAGTCTCTGGGACGTCGCGCGCGAGGTGGTCCGGCGCGTTTCGCCTGAGACATCCTCAAATCTCTGAGCCCCGAGGTTGTCGTGCGACAGGTGGTCCGGCGCACTTCGCCTGAGACATCCTTCCAATTCTAAGCTCCGAGACGTCGCGCGCGAGGTGATGTGGCACGTTTTGCCTGAGACATCCTCGCAATTCTGAGCTCTGAAATGCCGCGCGAGAGGTGGCCCAGCGCGTTTCGTTTGAGACATCCTCACATTTCTGCACTCCGAGCTGCCGCGCGCGAGGTGGTCCAGCGCGTTTCGCTTGAGACATCCTCGCAACCTTGAGCTCCGAGCTGCCGCGCGAGAGGTGGCCTCGCCTTTCGGTTGAGACATCCTCGCGCCCCTCAGCAACAAGATGCTGCTCGAGAGGTGGTCCAGCTCTTTTCGCTTGAGACATCCTTGCATCTTTAAGTTGTGAGATCATTTTCGCAAGGGTGTGTGTGTGTGGCCCTTTTGCTTGAGACACCCTCGCACTTCGGGGCTCCGAGATGCTGCGGGCGAGATAGTCTGCTCTGGGAGCCAGGGGGGCTCTGGGAGCCAAGGGGGCCCGACGGCCGAGCATCCCGCCAGCCCATCCGAAAGCGTTGCCCAGGCGCGTTGGGTGGTCAGAGCAATGCAGGATCAAAGAGGGGGGCAACCGCTTTTCACTCGAAGGAAGAAGGCATGAATGATGGAGGAGGGGGTAGGAGGAGGAACATGCAGATGACGATGAAGAAGAGGGGCAGGAGAGCGAGCAGAAGGGCCAGATGCATTCTGGATGTCTCTCGGAGTATCTTGTGATACCTCTGAGGCGCGGCTTGGACCTTCTCGGGGCGCCTGGGGATTCTCTTGGCGGCCGGGGGGCCTCTCGGGACAGCATGGGTGCCTCTGGTGGGCCATGGGGCCTCTTGGGGGCCGGTTGGTGGCCTCTTGCGGGCTCTTGGGGGCCTCTTCGGGCTTCTTGGGCGCCTCGTGGGAGCGTCGCGAGGCTTCTTGGGATCTCCAGAGGACCTCTCGGGGCCATCTTGGCCCCCTGCACTGCCCCTCGGTGGCTGTCATTTAGTATTTGGAAGGGTTTGGCTTTCTTCTGGCCTACTTGGGATTCTCCGTGGCCACTTGGGCCCATCACGTGGCTATCCCACCATGGGGTCTCCTTGCAGACATCTTCGAGGCCATCTTGAACAACTCGGGCTGCATTGCGCCAACTTGGAAGCAACCGTCAAGCAATGTTCAGCTCCCGTTTGTTGGTTGTTGTTTTTTCTTCTTTCCAAAGGGGGGTGGGACTTAAGTGGGCGCCCCGTTCAGGTTCCACCCATGTCGCGTCTTGGGGGCCATTGGGACGCTATTGGGGTTCTTGGGCGCTTAAGGGGCCGCATTCGTGGCCATCTTGGGCGTCTCTGAGGCCTTCCTGGGCAGTCTCGGGGCCGTCTTCAGAGCTCTGCAGCCAGTCGGGAACGAACACGAGAGAAGGCACTCCTTGGTGCTTTCCCTTATGCGTTTGAAGAGTGTTGCCCTGTTGGGGGCCTCCTGGGGAGGCTCCGCGGCCACCTGGGCCCGTCGTGGATCCGTTTTGGGGCTTCCTCGGGCATCCTGGAAGCCGCGTTGAGCAACATTGCGCTATCTTGAACCATCTTAGAGGCCGTCGATTCCCCCCAGCCAACGGGCGCCAGTCGGCGCTGCATCAGCCGCGGTAAGGACCAAGAAGGGGGACGAGGAGAGGGAGGAGAGGGAGTGAGGAGGAGGAGGAGGACGAGGAGGAGGATGATGAGGAGGAGGAGGACAAGGAAGAAGAGGAGGAGGAGGAGGATGGGGGAGGAATAAGGGGGAGGTGGAGGATGAGGCAGGGGGAGAAGAGAACACGGAGAGATAGGAGAGGGAGGAAGAGCAGGATGAGACGGCGGCAAAGGAAGAGGAGGACGAGGAAGAGGAGCAGGAGGAGGAGCAGGAGGAGGAGGAGGGAGGAGGAGAGGAGGAGGAGGAGGAGGAGGAGGAGGAGGAGGAGGAGGAGGAGGAGGAGGGGGGGGGAGGGGGGAGGAGGAGGAGGAGGAGGAGGAGGAGGAGGAGGAGGAGGAGGGGAGGAGGAGGAGGAGGAGGAGGAGGAGGAGGAGGAGGACGGAGGAGGACGGAGAGGACGAGGGAAGAAGGAATAGGAGGGGGAGGGAGAGGAGGAGGAGAAGAAGAAGGAGAAGGAGGAGGGAGGTGGGTGGATGAGGACCGACAGCAGTAGAAAAACGGGGGTAGCATGAGACGGCGGAGCAGCGGGAGAGAGGGGGGATGAAGGACTAATAAGTAATCCGCATGATGAGGACGAGGGGGGAGGAGGAGGAGGAGGAGGAGGAGGAGGAGGAGGAGGAGGAGGAGGAGGAGGAGGAGGAGGAGGGAAGGAGCAGGAGGAGGAGGAGGAGAAGGCGGAGGCGGAGGCGGAGGAGGAGGAGGAGGAGCAGGATGAGAAGGAGGAGGAGGAGGAGGAGGAGGAGGAAGACGAGGAGAAGGAGGAGGAGGAAGAGGAGGAGGAGGAGGAAGAGGAGGAGGAGGAGGACGAGGAGGAGGAGAAGGACGAGGAGGAGAAGGAGAAGGAGGAGGACGAGGGGGAGGAGGAGCAAGGGGCAAACCCCAGACCTCGTTCCACTTAGAGCTGCAAGGCTCGTTCCACAGAGAAGCCCACAGCCTCATTCCATTAAATGGCCGTCGGGGCCCACGACGTCCAGGGGTCGTTCCACAGAGAGCCGCAGTGCTCATTCCACAAAGGAACCGCAGGACTCGTTCCACAGAGCTCGATCCACTGCGGCTCCTGAGCTTCAGGGCTCATTCCATCGGGCCCCTAGAGAGCCGCAGGGCTCGTTCCGATGGGCCGCCGTCGTTGGCCCCGGGCTCCCAGAGGGCCGCAGAGCTCGTTCCGCTGGATCGCCGTCGGAGCCCCCCCGACCCCCAGGGCTCGTTCAACTGGGCCTCTGTCGCAGCCCCCCCCCTCGGCACCCAAAGAGCCGCAGGGCTCGTTCTACTACGCCGTCGGGCCCCCCTGGATCACGCAGGGCCGCATGGCTCATTCCACTGGGCCGCCACCGTCGGAGCCTACGACGCCCGCGGCTCGCTCCACAGAGGGCCGCAGGGCCGTCTCCACGCAGGCCCCCCCGACCGCGTTCCTCTGGGCCGCGGTCGAGGCCCGCGACCCCAGAACTCCAGTGCGCAAGCCCAAGGCTCGTTCCACAAACGCGTCGGGGCCCTGTCCACAGGGCCCCTCGTTGATGCGAAACCGATCGGCGCGCCCGGGCCGATGCGCCGATATGCCGATCTAGCGAATCGGCGCTGTTTAGCCGATGTTCCGATAAACCGATCCAGGAATTCGGCTCGGGCAATCGGAAGCGCCGATAGGCCGATGTATGGTTTCGGTTCCCCGGGTCGATCTACCGATGTACCTTTCCAGTACTTCGGCTTACCGAGCCGATATGCCGATATGCCGATCTGCCGAAGCTACGGGGCGCCCGCAGTGACGGCCATATCGGCGTGCCGGCATATCAGTTCCACGTGGCCGGTATATCAGATCGGTGTATCGGCGTATCGTGTTCCTCACGCCTGTATCCGATATTGGTTTATTGGCACATCGGCTCGCCCAAAACCAGCGCGACGTAAACCGGTGTATCGGTATATCTGCTCAGCAGCAAAAGCGGTTCCAGGTTGCGGTCGCCCTGCAAGTTTCCAATAATCCCTTGCGAACAACGGGACGAAGTGCACGCGCGCGTCGTCGCGCGCGCGTGCCGGAATCATTCAAAAACCTTCGGTTTCGGAAAGGTTTCAAAATCGACGTCCAGAAGCATGTTTGGTTTTAGTTTCTATTTATATATAATGGTTTCGCGCAACGAACTTTCAACAAAAGCGTGCGCGATTCTTAAGAAAACCATGCGTCTGTCATTTTAATTTAGAATCCTACCAAACGGGCTTCGCGCGCGCATGTCGAATTCGTACGACCGCCCTTGCGTGCGTGCTGGGGTGGCACGATCCGTATCAAATGATACGATGCGGGCCACTCTCGCGCGTCTGCCGCGCGCGCATTTCGAACTCATTCCAAAACCTTCATCACCGACGCGAAGACGCCGTCATCATCGTCGGCGTGATCAGCATCGGCTCCGTCACTGGCTGCCCCGTCGTCGCTGTCAGCATCGTCGCCAGCATCGCTACTATCATCATCCTGTCTACTGTTATCGACGTTGCCATGATACCGCGCCCGCCCAAGTCGCCGACTCGCACTGAAGTGCCCGCTGGGATGTGCCGAGCGGTCAGTGCCGCCGCGTTCGCGTCTCTCGCGCCAAACTAGCTGGCCGCTGCGCGCGCGAGCATGCGCGGACTAGCGCGGCCGCAGAGATGCACCAGCCAACACCCAGCACTCATCGCAATCGCTCCCGCATGGGTTTTGCAAACCAAGTTGCGGGTGGGTTGGTGGGATGGTTGCGCGAGCAGTGGAGTTGAACTTTTCAATTTCGGTAAGTGAATTCTACACATATATAGCACCGCATCTTTTGCATTACATAGGTTGCATCGCATACGTTGCACCAAGCATATGTTGTATTACATAGGTTGCATAACATAAATTCTCTTTTCTTAAACGTGAAAAGACTCTACCCCCCGCCCCCCCGGCGTTATCGGTACCCCTTTCGGGTATGTAAATCATGTATGATTTTGACCACATGTCCTTCCTAAACATGAAATCGCAATGTCCCAGGCCAGCCGGTATCCCCCCCCGAGGTCCCCTTGTAAAAAACACTATGCGGTGACATTTTTTGTTCTAACATCGCACTTGTCCGCGAATCCCTTGCAAAAATAAGACGAAGTGCGCACGCGCGCGTCGTCGCGCGCGCATGCCGAAATCTTTCAAACACCATCGGTGCCAGAAGGATTTCGCAATCGAGTTTCCAGAAGACATACAACAACACATGGTTTGGTAACACTGATTTGCTAAAAGCTTACGCGCGAGCTCCTGCGAAATCTTAAGACAACTAATGTTTTTTTTTTTTTTTTTTTTTTTTTTTTTTTTTACAGCGTGCTACCAGACGGGCGTCGCGCGCGCATGTCGAAATCTGTCGAACGCCCTTGCGCGTGTGCCGTCGCGAGAATCCTCTGCAAAGAACGGGACGAAGTGCAGACGCGCGCGTCGTCGCGCGCGTACGCCGAAATCCTTCAAAACCCATCGGTTCCGGAAGGAGTTCAAAATCGCGCGTCCAAAAAACCTACAACAACACACGGTTTCGTCGTTATCATCATCATCGTCTTCCCTCCTCCCTCGTCGTTGTCATCGTCAGCGTCGCCGTCCTTCCTCCTTCTTCGTCGTTCGCGTCGTTGCCGTCCTCCCTCCTCCCTCGTCGTTGTCGTCGTTGTCGTCGTTGTCGCCGTCGTCGTCCTCCCTCCTCTCTCGTCGTCGTCTTCGTTGGCGACGTCGTCGTCGTCTTCATCGTCGTCGTCGGCGTCGGCGTCGTCGTCGTCTTCGTCGTCGTCGATGTCGGCGTCGTCGTCGTCGCTGCCGTCGTCGTCGTCGTCGTCGTCGTCGTCGGCGGCGTCGTTGACGTCGTCGTCGTCGTCGGTTCGGTGTCGTTGTTGTCGTCGTCGTCGGTGTTGTCATCGTCGTTGTCAATGTCGTCGTCGTCGTCGTCTGCGTCGGTGTCGTCGTCGTCGTCGGTGTCGTCGTCGTCGTGGTTGTCGTTGTCGGCGTCGTCGAAGTCGTTGGAGACGCCGTTGGTGTCGTTGTAGTCGTTGTCGGCGGCGTCGTCGTCGTCGTTGTCGCTGTCGTGGTCGGCGTCGCTGTCGCTGCCAAGTGCCATTTGGTACCCACCGTCACGGTCGTAAGAGATTTTGCAAAGCAAGTTGCGGGTGGGTGGGTGGGATGTTTGCGCGAGCAGTGGAGTGGACAACTCACTGCGAACAGAAATTACATAATTGCACCACATAGATGGCACCGCATGGACTGCATTGTATGTGTTGCATCGCATAAGTGGCACCACGTAGATTGCACCGCATGTATCGCATTACGTATGTTGCATCGCCTACACTGGACCGCACACATTGCACCGCGTAGACTGCACTACATCGGCTGCACCGCACACACTGCACTACTCAGGGTGCACCGCATATATTACATCACGTATGATGTATCCCACACATAGCACCACATATTTTGCACCGCATATTTTGCAGCACGTACTTTGCATCACATATATTGCACCACGTAGGCTGCAC